TGACATGAATACTATAGCTGACGAGTATACATGAAACCCATAGAGCTGATTCTAATCTTATATTGTTAACAATTAGCCTGCAACAAGCATGCAGGTCTGCTTCAAACACCACCTGCCTCTACACGTCAGTCCCTCTCAGCTGTTCTCAAGACCATGTGTCTGTCGCCACAGGGGAAATACAGATGAATGGACACATGAATGTCCTGGCTGTGATGATATTCCACAATGTCCTACTAGACTGCTGCCCAACAGCTCTAAACCAATGAATGACTTATGATTTAGACGCCGTAAAGCAATATGTTTTAATAATTAATAACGTGATCATTTATCAGGTACTGCTGGGCTTTCACTTATTATGTCCAAAATGTCATAACAAGTCTTGACTATGATTCCTATTCATATTTATAAATGTACACTGATATTTAAAAGTTTGGGGTTTGTAAATTGTTTTATGGTATATTTTATGCTCACCAAGACTGCATTTACATGATTAAAATATAGGCTAGTGAAACCAGTACTATTTTGAAAAAGTAGTACATTTTAAATTTGATTTGACATTTAAAAATATATATATATACATTTTGTCATTTATTTCTGCTGAATTTTCAGCATTACTCCAGTCTTCAGTGTCACGTGGTCCTTCAGAAATCATTCTAATATGCTGATTTGCTTCTCAAGACACATTTATTATTATTAATAGTAATCAATATTGAAAATAGTTGTGCTGCTTAACATTTTTGCGACAACTCTGATGCATTCAGGATTGAATAGACAAAGTTCAAAAAGCATTTGTTTGAAATGGTAAATTGTATCATTACAAATGCCTTTACTGTCACTTTGATTAATTTAAAGACTCCTTACAGGATAAAAGTAATAATTTCTTGAAAAAAAAGAAAAAGACAAATCTGGTGGGAAAGAAACCTTAAAGGGATAGTTCACCCAAAAATGAAAATTCTGTCATCATTTACTCACCCTCAAGTAGTTCCAAACCCGTATACATTTCTTTGTTATGCCGAACAGAAAGGGAGATATTTTGAAGAAAGTTTGTAACCAGGCTGTTTTGGGGCACCATTGACTTCCATAGTAGGAGAAAATGGCCCAGAACTGCTCTGTTTCCCACATTCTTCAGAATATCTTCCTTTGTGTTCTGCAGAACAAACACATTCATACAGGTTTGGAACTACTTGAGGGTGAGTAAATGATGACAGAATTTTCATTTTTGGGTGAACTATCCCTTTAACTCTCATTTCTACTCAATTTAAAGCATCCTTCCGAAATAAAAGTATAAATTCTTTTCAAAAGAAAAAAAATGCCCTAAATTTTGAAGATAGTGTACAAATTCTTTGTCATGCCCAAATGAACACATTACTAAACCATGATTCATTCTGCATGACGCATGATTCTAGAATTCAGTCACAACTGGTTTTAATACTGATTCAAAGGGCAGGGTGCAAGATATGACTAACTTCTGTCTAGTGCCAGACAGCCCTGCTTTGGACCAGAACGAGACACCCCACCAAAGCCACAAGAGAAACATCTTTGAATCATTTAGTCCTCTCATGAGTCCTCTGTGAATATCTGAGAATGTATCATTGCTAAATCAACTCACATGAGGGTTCAAAAACAGAGGCTCTCCACTAAATATGCAAAACATATCATTAGATTCCCAACATTCTTGCTCTCATACTTTTTGTATCTTTCTAAATGTATTATTAAAATGTCTTTTTATTAGTCAGAATATACCAGTGTATTATAGCCATACTGTGATCCTGCAAAAATGTGAAAAATGAGGCAAAAACTATTCTCACATTAAGGTTGTAACTTCAAATCTATAAGACTTGCACACTTTAGAGCACAGAAGACTGAACAACTCTCGACTGTTGTCACTGTTTTCATTGCACAAGGCAATAACGAGCCGTCAACAGATGCCTGATAATCTCATGTGCTTTTTAATTAATTTTCTTACATCGTTTAGAAAACTAACGTGTATTTTTGTTATGCACGTCCCAACTGGATTTGCAACTGTCAGAGAATTCAATTAAATAGTTATCTTATATTAATTTTGTATACATTTCGGGGCAGTCGTGGCCTAATGGTTAGAGAGTTGGACTTGTAACCCGAAGGTTGCAGGTTGCAGGAATTGTCGGTGGGGGGAGTGAATAACCAGCCTCCACCCTCAATACCATGACTGAGGTGAGACCCTTGAGCAAGGCACCAAACCCCCAACTGCTCCCCGGGGCGCCGCAGAAATATGGCTGCCCACTGCTCCGGGTGTGTGTGTGTTCACTGCTGTGTGTGTGTGTGTGTGTGCACATGGATGGGTTAAATGCAGAGCACAAATTCCGAGTATGGGTCACCATACTTGGCCACGTGTCACTTCACTCACTCATAATGTGTATAGTTATAGGCTAAAAAATTCTAACTGGATGATATATCATTTTGAAGGCCTTTGAATCAAATCAAATTGTAATCATATCGCATCATGGTCTAAGGTATCGGCAAATATTATATTGCTGGCTAAGAGAATTGATGTCAGATCATATAATGATGAAATGTCCAATCATTTTATCAGCAAAAAATATTGCTATATATTTCCAAATAAATCCAAACCCTTCCCCAAAACAAAGCCGTATTTATCATTTTGACAAAAAGTAGGGACAGAGCTGTGAAACCGAACTCCTTTTTTTTTTTTTTTTTTTTTTAAACAAACCTCTTCCTCATACATTTATATTGCTTTTCCTAAGTTCAATAAATTTGAATCTATATGAAGTATTGACAGTCTGCGGACAGCTGGCTTTATGGGTAGGGAGAGATCAACAAAAACTAGGCTACGAGATGAAATCAAATCAAATGGCATTCCCACCGATCAGAAATTTCACCAAGATGAATTTCAAAGTGAATGTTATTTCTTTTAAGACCTAATATCAGGTAAAGGTCTGTGTCTAAGCTGTGTCAGTCCAACTGAGGGTTAAACAAATACTAAGGTAAGGTTTAACTAAACAACTGATCATCATCAACCTAAATGTCCCTTTGGTGATACATGAACCTATGATTAAAAGGGAATGATCATTTCTTTCTTATTCCACTCACCATCACTGCAGAATGTCACACACATGCTTTAATAAAACAATAGATATGCATTATAACAAAAGATCACTATGTTAAATGAACTTCTAGGATGATCATTTACTTTGAAAGAATATACTGCAACATTTGGACACCTGAAGCAATGTTTCCAAAGTGTCTCTCTCGCCGTCATGTGCTTTTATTGTCGGTGTGTGAGTGAAAAGGCTCGAGTGAGAGACAGACACATTAACACACAGGTGTGTCAGCAATACTAGTTCACACCATCACCGGCGTCTCGCCATTCTACCTCACAGGCAACACACACACATACGCATAACCGATATTCACTGCACTGGTGGCGAGACGCGTTTATTCCACGTTCCAGCGGCATATAAAACGTGGATGAAGTTCAACAGCGTTCAGAGGTTGAAACCAATATCGAATATCTGGGCTTTCATCACATTCACACGGTCACCCAAGAGGCATGCCACCCGTCTGGACCTCTAGAGAAAGCGAGCAGCAGAATCCCGCGAACAAACGAAACACTGTAGCATCCAGAGCATGACGTAGTAGTTCGAAAAATGACGTTTCGGCTTCAAACACATCCGCAGTCGATACATTGACGCGGCTCGACCTGCAATATGCTATTAGATATCGTAAAACTAGAACTAAAACTAACAATCTTTGAGGCGATATTTTGACCATTAAGCGATTATATATATTTTTTGTGTGTAAAAGATCTGTCTCTATCCATCGTAGCGAAAGCGGCACGTCTCTGACACACCCTCCGAAAGTGAATTCGTGCATTAGCCTTAAACAACGCAAATATCGTCCAAATCCAAACGCTCAGCATTCATATTCAAGGAAGATATCACGCCTCGATGCGCGTTTCGATGAGGATCCTCTGTAGCGCTACATATGCAGTGCTCGCGTTTCAATCACATCCACACTGATTCAGACAATACATGAAAGGAGAAGGTAATTTCTTCGATGCGTACCTGCACATAATTGTTCTCGCAATACTCCGCGACCCTTGAAAGGTTTTGGTAGCTCTCTACAAGGGCTCTTTTTCCAGCCGGAATTTCTTCCTCTAACAACATTTGTAGCTCTGCCATCTTACATCCCTCTGCATTGCTCTTCTCCCCCTCTTTCATTGAAACCAGCGGAGCTTCACTCTCCGACAGGAGGTCCCTCGCCTGGCATTGTGGGATTCCCGTTGGCTCCTCTTTTTCAGCAGGCCGACGATTCTCAACGCAGCGCTTTACGCACTGGGCTGTGATTGGCTGTTCGGCTCTGAGAAGTCGTTATTGGCCAATGGGAGAGGAGTACGATTTTCTCAGCGATGAGAAATGCTGCGATTTTCTACAACAGCTTTCTGACCAGAATGTGACATTGGACAAGCAGCAGAGTTGCACCGAGGGCTGTATTAAGACTAATGAGTTTTTGTACACCGTTGCGGGCAATGTTTTTTAGACATTAAGAATGTGCTGCTGTTTTAAGTTTCTTTAGAGGTAATCCTAGGCTTTTCATAATATAAAATAATTTAATCATGCTATACTGTGATGATAACCCTGCTGAAAAAAACTGCATATGCTGGTTAGGTATGTTTTGACGCTGGGATGCTGGTTTATGCTGGTCCTTTGCTGGTTTATGCTGGTTGCTTTTTGTTGTTCAGTGTCCTAAAATTTCGAGCATTTTTAAAAGAGTTTACACAGTAATTTCTTAGTATGGCGAAAGGTTTATTTTTAATTTTTTAAAGGTTAATTAATTAACCTGATATGACTAGTTAACCGAAGGTGTGCAATATACAATTAACATATTAAATAAGTATTAAGTCTGCATGTCATTTATTACCTTATTAGCATGATATGCTTATTGGTCCACGTCTGTTGGTTAAATGTTTATTGCATTTTCTGACAATCTGTCAATCAGGATGTAGACCTGTGCATGACAGGAAGAGCAATGGAAGATCCCAAATCCATTCAGAGGAGGTTTGAAGCGGCTGTTAAAGTGATCCGAAGTGTACCTGAAGATGGTAATACCTCTATATTAAGTATTAAACATCAGTGTCAAGCATTGAACTACACGGTTTTCTTTTTAAACAACAATGAAATATCTTCTTTTAATCATTCTTTCCTCATTTCACACAGGCTCCTATGACCTGTCTGATGATATGCTGGTTATGTTCTACAGTTACTACAAACAAGCTACAGCAGGACCGTGTAACACCCCGAAACCCAACTCTTGGGATCCTATTGGTAAAGCTAAATGGTAAATATCAATCACCACAGAGGAAGTCGTGGCCTAATGGTTAGAGAGTCGGACTCATAACCCAAAGGTTGTGGGTTCGAGTCTCGTACCGGCAGGGATTGTAGGTGGGGGGAGTGAATGTACAGCGCTCTCTTCCACCTTCAATACCACGACTGAGGTGCCCTTGAGCAAGGCACCGAACCCCCAACTGCTCCCCGGGTGCCGCAGCATAAATGGCTGCCCACTGCTCCGGGTGTGTGTTCACGGTGTGTGTGTGTTCACTGCTGTGTGTGTGCACTTTGGATGGGTAAATGCAGAGCATTAATTCTGAGTATGGGTCACCATACTTGGCCACATGTCACTTCACTTCAAAATATGTTTTTTTTTGGTAGATGATTTTTAACTTAAATCTACATGCCCATTTTGAATATGGTGTATCTATTCAATTGGAATGTTTACTTATTGTAAATGGGTCACCATACTTGGCCACATGTCACTTCACTTCAAAATATGGTTTTTTTTGGTAGATGATTTTTAACTTAAATCTACATGCCTCTATATATGAATATGGTGTATCTATTCAATTGGAATGTTTACTTATTGTAAATATGAATATTAAACCCAAACACATGTGTGTTCTTTGCAGGGAGGCATGGAAAATTTTGGGAAACATGTCAAAGGACCAAGCCATGGTGGAATATGTTCAGGAAATACAGCAGGTTGGTAGTTGTATAGATTGCAGAGATGAAGCTCTATCGCATTGAGGTATCAATAAAAAGAGTTTAAACCAGAAACAATCAAATGTTTTATCATAGATAATTGAAACCCTCCCGGTCACAGACAGGATGGCAGAATTAATGGACGCTCTTGACCCATTTTATGAGATGGTGGCGGAAGATGATGATGATGAAGATGATGCATTCAGTAAAGCAGCACCCTTATCCACAGGTACTTTATTTAGAAGCATTAAAAGTACTTATTAACCATAAGATTTGTCCTTATCTGCGCCTGTTTAATCAACATTTAATTAATTTTGAAACAGGAAACACTAATGGCGAAAAAACTGATGATGATGATGCTGCTGAGAAACTTAAAGCGGGGGAAAGTGAAATTAATGGGGAAAATAAGAAAGATGAGCTGGAGATGGAGAAGAGGAGGAAAGGTACAGGAACAGCTTTGTGTCTGTATTTTCAAGACGGTGATCTGAAAGGATTCATAACACTGTATTTGAGGACTTCTCAGCTCTTTTTTTATTCTGCAGACTCGAGCACATTTGCAGCAGGGAGAGGAGGTTCATCAGTGTTTAATGAAAGTGAGGAGAACAGCATGTCCTCCTCAACCGATGACGCTCATAGTTCTCTGAACACGGGGGAGGAAGAGGAGGAATTGACTTATGGTATAGTTTCTGGTGTTTAATTCCATTTCTAGGCCCAAGGTATACGGTTTATCCCAACGAGCAGTTGTGTTGGAGAATACAAAACTTGGGGGCTAAGATTGAGCAGTCATTTAATGAAACTACATTGGCATATAAAGTAAACGGCGTGTCTGTTATAATCTGTGTTTGAAAAATATGATTTGATGACATCATTCTCACCAAATATCACGCAGATGACTCAGACGATGAGATGTACAGTGACTCGATGGAAAATCCAGCAACTCAAGAGAAGGTACAGTCTCCAGTGATGTTCTCAAGTCTGTCACGGGCTCAAGAAGCTTGAAAATAAATAAAAGAAAAACACACATTTTGCATAATTAAAATAAATCCAATTCTATTATGATTTTTAAAAAACAATTGTATTGCAGTAATTTTATGGCTCGAGTCAGAAATCATTTTTTAAAAATGTTTTTGAAAGAAGTCTCTTGCTATTAATATATTTTAAAATGTAATTTATTACATTTTATTTTGTTTTCAGCATCATTACGTCTTCAGTGTCACGTGATCCTTCAGAAATCATTCTAATATGCTGATTTCTTAAACATTTATTATTATTGTCAACAGTTGTGGAAACTGTGATACATTTTTTTCAGTTTATATATATATATATATATATATATAGATATATATAGATAGATAGATTTGATTAAAATTGATTTAAAGTAATAATCTTTTGTAAGAATATACAAATCTTTTTATATAAATATAATGCAAACAAATCTAGTGTATATGAATATTTGGAACTACAAAAAGAACAGGTTCTAAAAATATTCAAAATTGTCCTAAGATTTTTGTCATAAATAGGATTACCATTTCTTTTAATTTTGAGGGTTCTGTGTGACCTGGATTTGTGAAATTCACTCTATAGTATAATGCTCAATTTTAGTTCTTTCAATGTTCTTATTAATAAGCTGATTAACTTATTAAACACTTTCATGTTGACCTTAGTATTGAAGCCTTCAAATTCAGACAAACCCTTGAAACAACAATCATTAATGTGATTTATAATCTGGGTTGAGTCCATCGAATCCATCATGTTATGAGGTCACTCCGATGCATCATACATCACCGGAGATTTGAAAGTGTTAAGTGGTCCTTGGCAAAAAACCAAGTATGACTCGAAATGCTTGGCAAAACCATGAATTAAGTGACATCAACTGCAGTCCATCAATACAGAGTTAGGATAAGCTTGTGACATTTTTGGAGAGAAAGAGAGAGCGAGAACTAAAGGAAGAAATGTATTTGTTTGTCATGTCAGAGCGGTATAAATGGGAGTATGTGATGCTTTCCCTAGGGTTCGGGAGTTCCTAGGGTCCATTTGGCAGATGTGAGCGTGGCTGGGGCCCGCATGCAACAAGGGGGAAACAGAGAGCCTCAGTGTGGGAGTCAGGATGGAAAGCCACAGGAAGCTACACTCCCCGTCCCCCACCCACCGACACTTGGACCGGTCCGAACTGACAGAATCTCAGCAGGCAGTGGAAGAGGTTGGGCTCGAGTCAGTGTTTGAATAAGTCTTGAGCACCGTGACGTCAACAAGCAATAATGTGATCAACAAGCCAATTTTCCACCAGCATTTGTATAAACGTACAATGCGAGTGAATACTATTATACTTCTGCTAGGAATCATTTCCTAATAAGGCAAGCCTCTATTGCTATTGCATGTGGCATTTATTTCCTTTCATCACTATGAGCTTGTAAGGTCAATGAAATAAGTCTGATTTTTGTTTGTTTGTTTATTGAAACTTTAATTAAAATCTAAAAATGCTTGATATATTGATACATAAAAATGAATACAATTCAGATGTATCAAATATGATCGATCAAATATATAATATTTAAATACATCTGGATTTTATGTCTCTGGATATAGTGAGAATATGGAGCTCATACTTGAGGAGGGATCAATTCAGAGGGTCAAACTGTGCAAAAATATGAATTTTGGTGCAGTTGCTGGTATTTATATGGTCAGAATGAAAGATGTAATTCTGATAGCTTTTGATGTAAATCAAACTGGATCATATTTGAGGCTAACATTTTAACATGTTTTTTTCCCTAAATAATGGTGTATGGATGATCAAGTAAACCTAAGTTGCTTCAGTCTACTAAATGTTCGTCTTAAAATATTAATAACAATAGAAAAGTTATTCTTTTGATCATGTTGATAATTTGGAGGCCAAATGAATTTGTGTGTCAAATATGATAAAGTAGGCTTTGTCATTTATGGGTGAACTGTCCCTTTAAATAGCTATTAAAACCTTGAGTACAGTTACAGTTGATACTTAATCTATTTGCTTATGTTTTGTTTTAGGCTGAAATCCTTGCTCTCAAAACTCAGCACTCTAAGTCACCAAAAAAGGTCTGTTTATGTTACTTTAAATACTTGGAATGTCATTGTCTGAAATGCCAGTTTATATTAATAGAAATTATTAATCGCATCTGTGTTTATCCTGGTTTTTAGAGGTTGCCCTGGTGGCCTTTAAACATGTCCCCTATCACTGTAGCACTGACAGTTATCTGGCCCTTTGCTGTGCACTGGCTGCTGCAGTTTTACTTACAGAAAACGAGGAGGTAAGAATTCGTTCATGCACCGTTAACTATAAACTATATGTTGATAAAAGTACCCATTTTACGCAGTCTGTCTGTGTTGCATCTTTGTTGTGGTTTTAGAAGGTTAAGAGTGAAGTGAAGATTCGGTGACCAGCTGCGCAGCTCCTGAAGACTTTCAAGTGGTCTGGACGTATCTGATATATAATACAACAGTGAATATTGTGATGCCACACTGAGCCTCAGGACCTTAGTAAGGACTTGATTAGGATACACACTACTGTTCAGAAGCTTGGGGTCAGTAAGAAGGAATTAATACTTTATTCAAAAGTAACAGTAAAGTCATTGATAATTTACAAAAGATTTCCATTTCAAATAAACGCTGTTCTTTTGAACTTTCTATTCACCAAAGAATCCTGAAAGAAATGTAGCCCGGTTATATATGAAGCAGCACAACTGTTTTCAACATTGATCATAATTAGAAATGTTTCTTAAGCAGCAAATCAGCATTTTAGAATGATTTCTGAAGGATCATGTGACACTGAAGACTGGATCTGAAAATTCAGCTTGGCATCACAGGAATAAATTACATTTTGCAGTATATTAAAATAGAAAATAGTTTTAAATTGCAATAATATTTTACAATATTAGTTTTTTTTTTTTTACTGTATTTTGGATAGGCTTTTGAACGGCAGTGTTCAAAATATTCACACTGTTTCTATTGTGTATTAATGGTATATATATTAATCGTATATGTGGACCAATAAAAGGACAAGAATGTAAGAAGTCCATTTTTTAAGCTGCAGACAATGCATACATTATTTATAAGTATGTTATTATTGTAAAGCAGGTAATTCGTCTTGAAATTCGAATAAAGTGTTTGAATGGTTAATTGTGTTTTTGACTGCTAAAAAAAAACAGACAATGTGTAAGATTTGTCCTAAAATCAGAGACTCAATGTCGGCTCATTGAGATACTGTAGCGTTTTCCACACGGACTCAAATAAAGGGAGGACAATAACAATCTGGTTGTGTCCAAAAACTTATCAGCATGTACACGGGGTAGAGAAGCATTAAACCGTTTTGGACGGTGGTCTGAGAGCAGCTACGTCCATACAAAAACTATAAATTCATTGTCTAACTCTAGAGCTACCTTTTAACGGACGTAAACAACACTTAGGACGAATAAATTGTGCAGTCAAGAACGCTACTATGGCGAAGGTTTATGAATATTAATTACGTCATATGACGTTCGCACAGTAGACAACGCTGATTTGCTGGCAGACGCTACGCTCCAGTTAAGCTGGCGAATGAACGTCTCGGATATTGCATAATGAATGAGCTCACTCACGTGATTGGACGCGTACCACGCAACTTGTTTAATATTCATGAGACATGCCTTTGCACTAGTAGGATTCGTAATTTGCGAGTGCAGATGGATATATGCGCACGTGGTGAATCTGTAAACAGTTTTTGTGTCGTGCTTTTATTCAGTTTGCGGTTTAAGAAATAAAAGGAGGAGAGTTGAATATTATTATGGATGAAGTAAATCGAGCGGATCCTCCGAGCTGGATCCAGCAGCACGCCGTCGTAAGAGCGAGTAACATTCCTGTTAATATAAATTGATGCACTGCATATTTGGAGACGTGTAATTGAATTCAGTCTTCTCTTTAGTATCAAGACCTGATGCATTTAGATGTCGGTGACAGTGCTCAAGTATATGCTGCCTTCCTGGTGTACATGGATCTGACGGAAGGTCAGCAGTACTTAGTTAGAAGTGGAACATAAAGTTTATCAAATCATTGATAACCCTTTTGTGTTTTTTCTTTTGCAGTGCGTAAATGGAAAGAGGTGGTTGGAGTTTCCTGCCCAGAGCTGCAGGCGGTTCTGCTGGAGGGTCGAGAGAAGGAAGGAGAAACAGTCCAGATGGTCTACCCTCTGCCTTCACACAGATCCATCAAACACAGAGAGTAGGAGACAGTCAGCTTTTACTATAACACTCTCATTACTAAGCAGCAGCTTTTGAGCCATGGTGTGTTAAAGCTTCTATGACACATTTATGCAGCCCCTAGCGGATACCAACGGAATTGAAAGAACTGTTTCCAAACAGGTTTCCCAAAGGGACTGTTCACACAGTATGTGTTTTCCATTGTTTTTCTATGTGAACGCACACTAGACAGATGTACTGCAGTGTTTCATAATTGACTGTGTTCTTATGCTTCATGGGACGGCAGTTTTTACCTTCTCTCAATTAAGTACACAGTCTTGTACTTTTGGGGGTTTTTTTTGTCTCATTTTCAAATACTTTTTTTCATTCAACTCGTTTTAAAGGGGTCATATGATGCTGCTAAAAAGAACATTATTTTGTGTATTTGGTGTAATGAAATGTGGGAAAAAAAAAACAACAGAAAGCTGAAAAATACATGGATATCTGAATCCTGTATAAAATCCATCTTAAAGGGATAGTTCACCCAGAATTAAAATTCTCCTTAACTTACCCTCATGTTGTTCCAAACCCATTAAAACCTCCATTCATCTTTGAAACGCAAATAAAGATATTTTTAATGAAATCGGAGAGATTTCTGTCCTCCAGTGAAAGTCCGTGCAACCAAAACTTTGATGCTTCAAAAAGTTCATAAAGACATCGGAAAAAAGTAATCCATATGAATTGAGTGGTTTAATCCAACCAAGTCTTCAGAAGAGTCACTCAAGTGCTTGCATGACTAACAAAAACAAACCTCATTCATTCTCAAGCATAAAGCAAGTTCAGTTGAGCTTTCATTGACCATTTTTGATGTGCTCAATGTATGTGTCGATCAATGTTTATGTGTGAATAAAAGCATTACTTAAATCTATAAAGCGAACAGGTTTCATCAGAAAACTTGGATTAATCATGTGGATTGTTTTTACGATGTTTTTTGAAGCCTAAATGTTTAGGGACAAAAATCTCCCAGGTTCATTAAAATTCTTCATATGCATTTGAAAGATGAATGGAAGTCATGCAGGTTTGGAAAGACATGAGGGTGAGTAAATGATGACAGCATCTTCATTTTTGGGTGAACCGAGGAATAGTTCTCCCAAAACCTGTCATTTATTCACCCCTTGTTCCAAACCTTATTGACTTTTTAATTTTTCTGTAAAAAATACAAAACAACAATGGACCCCATTGACTTCATTATTTGAAAAAAAAAAAAATCAATAAACCTGATGCTTTTCCTTGGTTAGTACAAACCTTAATGACTTTTTAATTTTTCTGTAAAAAATACAAAACAACAATGGACCCCATTGACTTCATTATTTGAAAAAAAAAAACATCAATAAACCTGATGCTTTTCCTTGGTTAGTTGTGTATTTATTTATTCTTTCACTCAGCATCACATTTTTGGCAATTTTGTTTGGCCCAACTGTGTACATAGAGAACTTAAGCATACATGTGGCATACTGTTCACTTTAGTGTGAAAATACAGAAATTAATGGCTTACTGTTGTATCTCATTTCAGAAAAGAAAACACTGTGTGCTTAAGGCAAAATACTGTCATACTGTAAAAGGAAGAAACACTTCCTGGTAATAAAAACGTATCTATGTAAAACTTTCTGAAGGCTGGTTTTGAAACTTGTACTGGTTTTTAACTCAGGAATAGTGACTATAAATGTGAAGCGAACGTATGATATCCACCTGTTATATAGAGTAAAATGAGTATTTGAAAACTACATGACCTTAAAGGGGTTCTATTATGCTCTTTTACAAAGTCTTGATTTTGTTTTGGGGGTGTACTAGAACAGGCTCTCATACTAGGTTGTTTGAAAAAAAAAAAAAAACATTATTTTCCACATATTTTACATTATTACAACCCCTCTCTCCCCAGTCTGGCATGAACGGCTCGAATAGTTCCTGTATCAAATGAAGGCCCGCCTTCTGAAATACGAAATGTGCTGTGATTGGTTAGTTGGGCCAGTGTGTGCTGTGATTGGTTAGCTGGGCCAGTGTGTGTTGTGATTGGTTAGCTGGACCAATGTGTGTTGTGATTGGTTAGTTGGGCCAGTGTGTGCTGTGATTGGTTAGCTGGGCCAGTGTGTGCTGTGATTGGCAGCACTCGGCGCCTGGTCGGGAAATGTCACGCCCCTTACCATAGCCACATGTGAGCTTCAGTGTAAATATTGCGTCAAAATCAAATCAATTTGAGAGCGATTTAAACCCGGATGATTGTAGCCCCTCTAAGTTCGTCTGCCTTGGGAAAGCTAGCGTGTTTCTGACATAGTGATAACACTCGTTGCCTTCTCTAATGCAGCTCAACCAGGTCTCGTCCCATTCGTCGAAAAAAGTGATTTCTGTTAAATAAAATATCTCCTTTTGAATTGGACTTTGAGCTTTGTAACTTTGCAGATCTTTTTTATGCTCAAACAGCAACATTACAGACTAACTAAAGTTGAAAATGTGAAAAAGCATAATAGGACCCCTTTAAGATGCTGTAACTGGCATCTCTAAACACGGCTAGATGCTGTGATCTATCTCCACCACCCAACACGTCCTCAAGACCGGCCCTGAAGGAACTGCACTGCCCTCATCTAACCAACAAATCTAGTGATGATTCATACAGCACTGCTGTCCTGAGCGTTGTAACATAACTCAAAGAAAAAGGTCAAAAAGACATATACATAATACACTGTGGGTGAAAAATACTTTGTTAAAAAAACAATTGGAATGCTAGAAATGGCCTTGTGTTTCTGTCCATACGCTTTCACCTACTGTGTCTCAACAGCATGAGCTGGACAGAATCACGCAAGTCTCTCGGTAGGCATGTCCTCCTTGGGAGATATCATCTCCGCTGCTAGTTCAGCGTGTGTAGTGTCCATGTCAAGGGAGGGCGAAATCCAGGATTCTCAGCATGGCTCTCTCCACTCTATGTAGTCTATGAGTAGGAGAAAGGCTTATGGATAGTGTAAGGCAAGGGATTGAGGAACAGTCTGAAAATGGCTTTCCCATTCAAATCTTGCGCCAAATCCCAGTCTCCTTAACCATGGTCTTTCCATGCCACCATACCGTTTAAATACTAGTCCTTAAGAGTCTCAAATACTGACCTGTAAGACATTTGGGAGAGTGTGTAGATTGTAAACGGAGTAGATAACTGGGTTGAATGTCACTTGAACCCACACTCTTGAAGATTAATACTTGTTGGGTAAGGAGGCATGGAAAGCAAGTGTAAAGAACTTTGGGACAGGACTGACTCAATGTTGGCGTGAGTCAAACATCTCAGCATGCTATGTCATATCCTCGTCGTCCGAACTGTAGTCCCGTCCCTGTAAATGTAAGAGTCATATTACAAGGGAAGGTAGCTCAAAAAACAAAACAAAAAACAGCAATTAAAATAGACATGCTAGATTTTCACATTTTCTGAAGTGTATTACTCATAGTTCAGCTGAAGTGAACTTTTATTTTGATGCTAACACCTAAGCCCAAAGCATACTTCCGTTTTTTTACACAAACACTTAAACCTGAAGTATACTTCGATTTTTATGCAAACGCTTAAATCCAAAGTATACTTCAGTTTTTAACTAGCGGCAACCTTCCGGTCTCTCTCGTGAAACCAACACGGAAGTGACTTAAACTGTAATTCGTCAACTGTGCAGCTGCTAGAGGCTGGCTCCAAAAGGGAGTCAATCCCATAGACTCCCCATGTTAAAATGCCCAACTTTACAGCAGAAAAAAATATGTTTACAGCCTGGTTCAAAAAATGATTTTGGTCGATATAGCTAATTTTGCCCTTCATGACAACTGTGAGGGGGTGAATTTTTTTATAACTCATCCGTTTAAATTATATTAAGCCTTAAGTTCTGCATAATTAAGGGCGTGGCCACTTGAGTGACAGGTGGATTGCCGCAAAACTCTGCATTTGAACAGTCAATAGCAAATACTTCAACTAGTAACAAAACAGTCACTGATTCAGAGGCGCCAGATTGTCATAGCAAAGTCAGAATGACCTCCTCTCCTAGGTTCATGAAACGGTCGTCCATAAAATGCATTGCTGTTCTGTTGTAAGTGATCTTAAAGATTCCTAAATGCATCTACTTCCGGAAGGCCAAATAAAGTGCTTTTGCTTTCGCCTAGAAACACACAGCGTCTCCCTGACATGCTGCTTCAACACTAACTGCGGTTACTGAAACCACGCCTTCTTTCTTTGCGTGAACATTTGGGCCGCATTATGCAAATATTTCCACATAGTGAGGTAGATATGTGGGGGCGTGTTAGAACGAGCCGTTTTAGGGGGGCGTGGCAGAGTCTTAACTTTGATAAAGAATATCTCTTTGGTTTTGAGACTTTAGTCTTTGCAACTTCAGGGATCTTATCTATTCACGAACAGCTTGTAACACTCCAAAGAGAAAGGAAAACTTGAAATCGCATCATATGACCGCTTTAAACACATTTCCGATATACATCACCAGTGTTTCCCATACATTGATTTATTTGTGGTGGTTGACTTCGTAGAATAAACATGTGCACTGCACGTTTCAAAATCAAAATGTGGCACGGGTGTTTTATATGAATGAATCTTTGAATGGAACTGGCTGTCTTCAGAAAAGTTTCGATGGCATTTTCATTTTATCTGATAAAGTAGCATTTATGAGTGCAGCGCTGCTTTGTTTATAGCCGTTACCTGGGAAGCCGCTGCTTCTGCCGCTACAAAAGCGCCTCCTGCTGGCAGAGAATGAATTTGCATTTTCAATGAGCCCCTCTCCAGCAACATGTTTTCATTGTTGCTCACTCTTTTTTTTCTGTTTTCCGCAGCAACTCTGAGCACTTTTCATATTCTTTATCTTGGCTGAAGCACTTTTGTTTCAATCTATAAGAATAATCTGCCTATGTTATAGTTGAAAGTTAAAGATATTAATATTAATAAGGTGAGTCTGAGAGCCTTTTGTTTATTTGACGGTGATTTCACATTTCTTGTTTCTATGAGGGCTAAATACAAATAAGA